GGTTTATTTTCTTATCCGAACGCTTAGACCCTCTTGCCCTCTCACTGGTCGAGTTGAAAACTCCGAAGGTATTATCTCGACCTATGCCGGGACCTTCGGGTTAGCACTTTGCCATCGCGACTTCCAACCGTGAATGAGAAGGGGCCCAAAACATCATTGGTACAAACTGTTGTGATGCGATTCATGATTTTATTTATAACAGGCATACAATTGTATATACAATAAGGCAGTTGATATCATTATAGACAAGCACTTTCATTTTATTTACATAGTGTATAACATTATACAAAAATATACAATAACATAACACATGATTTCGACATTTAAAAGAAATGTCAGATTTATTTACAAATGGGACAACTTAAAAAAAAATTACGCCAAAAATACGGGCAGTCCAGTAGCCTAATTAAAATATATTCATTTGAACAGACATCCCCTTTAAATGCGACATTAACTTTAGATCCAAGAAGCAATTCCCTTCATATGAGACATTTACTTTATTTCAAAGTAGATATTCCCTATGTATCTTTCATGACATTCCTTCAGATCTTGATATCCAACAAACTGAACCGAAGCCTAGATTTCAAAATCATACTATGGGATCCTGGTATGGAACAAAAAAAAAATAGAGGAAATGAAGAATATTATACAGATCTTACCATTTTAAGATGCTTTGGAAGTCATTTCCTATACAGAAATCTTAAGTGATTTTATTCGAAAATAAAAGAAAATACCATTGGTCAGAAATAAAGAAGAATTCCACAGAGGAAGTCTGGGATCTTTGAAAAGTAACCATGACAATACTTCTCTTTCGAATATTTTTTGTCATTTTTTATTAAGATCCTGATAAAAGGAAAGAGTTGGAAATTTTCCAAACTTTATTTGAAATATAATTGAATAGAAAAAAGAATATCTTTGATTCTTCAACCATAAATAACTTCAGATCTATGGCTAATTTCACACATTAACAAATATGGACATTTTATTACATGATTGACACATGCAGTTGATGGACATGATTTCAAACCTTTATATTGAAAAGTTAAAATCTAATGATTGTGAATAAGACAAATTTTCTCCCTTCTTATCTGGTTTAAGCTAAATCAGAGTGTATTCAGGCACATAATAATCTAATTAAAATAAAATCTTTTTTTTTTTCAGCCATTTTCTCCATTGAAACAAGTTTTCTACCACAGTCCTATTCCAATAATGTTATTTTTTAACAAATCAAAGAGTGTCATGTCTAATGCCATTGCTTGATAACAAAGAATTGTGGGACAGCGAATGGGACAGCGAATTGGATAGGGCAATATGACAGCCTCTTTCGCTATCCCACAATTTGTTATGTTCTCATACAAGTAATCCAATACATATTTAAGGTTTCTAATATCTAATATATATGTATCTTGATAGAAAATTAACGAACTTGATACATCATATTAGTTAAAGCATTTATCTTTCATGTTTGGATTTAATATATTAATATACCCAATTTTCATATAGCAACTGATAAGACATGGAATTTAAGACAATTATCCTTCAGAATTATTAGCATTTGCTCACAAAAACAGAGTGGGATTAAGTGTTCCTGAAAGATCAACATACCCCCAGTCTCATTAAAATTAGACCAATCAATTCAGTTAGAGTCTTGAACATTTGTCAGTTTGATGACACCACCAGCCAATCAAATTCCTGCCATCTCCAACACTGGGATTTTGTAATGCAAACAAAAGGTGTATTGTGAGAAGCATTAGACACTGAATACACCCTTTGTTTTAATCTCAAAATTCCAGCATTGGAGAGGGCAGGAATTTGATTGGCTGGCAGTGTCATCAAACAGACAAATGTTCAAGAGGGCCGTCTATAGACCCTAACTGAAGTGACCAAAATAAAAAACGTCATAATATCGCCTGCTACAATTAAATTAAAATTAAAACTTGGAGTTGAAAATCTGTCACTCCATAGAAATATACAAGTGAGCTTGTGTAAAATGCTGTAATACATATGTATCTTCTGATGTATGATTACCCCATGTATCATTACACTATGATTCTTGTGATGTATCTGTTTGTTGTGCGTCAGTACCAGGTTGTTGTATGTATATCTGTTGGCCAGCCTGTGATAGTGGTAAACCTTGTATTTGATATAATGGCTGAAAATATACAAGTTTAATTCTAAAATCAAATTTCTCAGGGCTGTTGATGTCCAGTTATGACCTTTCCCCATGAAGTCTGAATGACGCACAAAAAGGTTCAGTTATAGGCCTAAAATAAGCCTTAAGACATTCAAGAAATGAAATGAAAGGAATGGAAATGAAATGAATCTACTCTTTGCAGCCGATTTGGTTAAGAAGACAGCATTGGCATGCAATGTGCAATGAGGGAAATTTTTCCAGCATTAGCCTACTCTTTGATTCCCAACTAAGACATTTTAGAAGTCTTTAAGATAGAACTGCTTTTCTTGTTGTTTACATAATTTCAATTCTAATTGCAAACAGAACTGTTTCGGCCTTCTTGGTCTCATCAGTGCAGTGCTGATACGGGAGTTGAGGTTTGGCTATAAAGCCACCTCAGATCGTACCATGCCAGTCAAACTAGCAGCTAGTGAGCTAAGCTAGAATTTCAATTGTATACAAACATTAATAGCAATAAACTTTTTGACTAAATCTTTAGTCAAAATATCAAATTCTTAAACATAGACGTTTCATTATCAGTAATTTTGACATGGGTTTACCTGGTTGACTTGTGTTGTAAATGATTGATCTTGAACTATAATAGGTTGTTGTTGTTGTTGTTGCTGCTGTTGTGTGGTTGCTTGTTGTTGTTTTCCTTGTATTTGTAACTGAATAGCTTGTAACTGTTGTGGAGTTAACTGAATCTGAAAAAAATAAAATGAATATAAAAATACAAATGTATACTTTGTAAACTTGCTATTTAGAGAACTGTGACCTATTCTGACTTAATCAAGCTACTGTCTGACGCAATTGAACTCAATTGTACGCCATTTGTCTTTGAATGTATTTGGGTCTATAGAAATATAGGGTTCAATGATTTCACATTTAAAATAGACACACTTCCCTCCCAGAAAATTCATGTGAAAATGACTTACTTTTCTGACTGAAAATTCCCCTCTGTAAAATCATTTTTACAATTAATATTTTTTCAGTGCTTAACATTTTCATCAACCCAAAGACAATCTAGGACTCACAATAGTATTTTGTAGTTGATATTTCAATTCATATGAAAATGATTGTCAAAATTCAATTCAGAAATCAGTATAGTCAAAGAGTAGATGTAGATCTGGTAGTCATGTGTAATGGTCTTTTCCATTTGGTTTTCTAATTTCCATACCAATTACTAGTAATTTTGGTTTTATTATATGATTCACTTACAGGTATATTTTGGATTTCTCCACTAGGTGATACAACTTGTTGATAAACTTGTGTCTGTTGTTGTGTTGGTTGTTGACTAGCTTGTTGTTGTTGTTGTGTTATTTGAGGCTGTGTTATTGTTTGTTGTTGTTGTTGTTGTTGTTGCTGTTGAGGTGCAGCTACTTGTTGAACCTGTATTTGTCCTACAGCTTGTTGGGGAGACTGGATCTGTATTATTTGTTGTCCACCTTGTCCAGACTAAAAAAAAAGAAATATTTCTAGATTAAAATAATTTTAAGTCAAAATAAATGTGATCAGAATGATTATAGTCAAAACAGCTCCAAGACAGAAAAAAAAACAATTACTTTCTGGTATTCTACTCCAAATGTCCACAATATGGATATTGAATGACACTAAAATTTAAATCTGTCAAAAAGCATGGAAAATCTGATAATAAGTCTGATAATAAGCCAATTCGGTATTATCTGTGTGCAAGAGCAAAACGCTAAATCTTTGTCTGTCGCTGAGACTCCCATGTTAAATTGAGGTTGTTTATCGTCAGGCAGAAGAATTGAATCAGTGCATTGAGCATGCCCATGAATAATACCGAATTGGCTAATCAGGCATAATCACTTACTATTTGGAAGGGTTGTTGTATTATTTGACCACCTGAAAATAAGAACAAATATTTTATTATCTGAGAAAGTTCATATTCTGTTATTTGTATTACATTTTATATTTATATTCACTATTAAGTCAGTTCTCAAAGGTTGTCATCAAGTCACATGATATCACTGCATACATTTTGTCATCAATAAGATCTTGATTGGAATATCACCCTGGGCAACATTAAAAATAATTAGCTTTTTCAGTAAATATTGAATCGAAACAATCTTAGCGCTAGGATGTACTGGCTTCTTATCTTCTAACATTGATTCTAGGACATCCTAGCGCTAAAATCGTTTCGAGAATACATGGTCTGAGAAATATTATATTATAATTGTCTACCTGGTAATTGTATAGATGCTTGTTGTTGGGGTTGTTGTACAGTGGTTGTAGTTGTTTGTTGTGCTGGCTGTGCAACCTGTGTTGTTTGTTGTGCTGGTTGTTGTACAGTAGTAGCAGCAGCTGTCTGTGTTTGTTGTTGTTGTTGCTGTTGTTGTTGGGCCTGTTGTTGTGCTAGTTGTAAATAATAATTAATCTGATCTGGTAATGATTGACCACTACGGTTTGTATCTTCCTGAAATACAAGACAATTTCAAACATATTTGATCGGATAAGGTAAGGTCATATATTCCATATGTTTGTTTAATTATAATGCAGTTTCATGATCTTATTTTCTGCAACTAATGAAGACAAGTAATGCCCAGCAGTGTACAATGAGATATTGCTAGGACAGCAGCATTAATAGGTACATGGACCATCGTTCATTATCCCATAATCAGGTATCCCTTCAGGTGAGAGAGCAAGCACCTTAACTCCCTGAGCCACTGTGGCCCCCGAAATCCAGTTGTCAAAGCCACTAAGTTGCAACTAATTGTCATTGAGCACATACTAAAAAAATTAATTGAAATTGATCACAGCCCTACATTGCTGACAAGATTGCTGGTACATAGAAAGGGAGATAACTCTATAGTAAAAATAAATTTCTGACCTGTCTTTTGGCTGGTTTCATTTCATCTCTTGGTACAATGTCAATCAGAAAATCAAACTGGTCAAACTTAGATATAGCCATAGCAATATCATTTCTCTGGAAAAAAAAAGTTACTTTAACACTAATAGATCGATACTGATAAATACCTAATTTACTATCCTTCCACCGATTATAACATAAGCTTTCCATAAGGTGTTACCTTGGTTGATGCAGTACATTGGAGTGGACAAATAACAGAGAAAAACTGGCTGTGTCTTGAAGTTGTGTTCTCTTTCTGCTAGACTCCATCAAGATTGACCAGTGGCGGAGCCAGATTTATGTATGAGGGAGGGCGAGATCCTGAGATTGCCCGAATCTCTAACCTAGATTTTTGTCCGAAATACTTGCTTTCGGAGTTCCGAGGGGGAATCAGAATAAGGTCCCTACCTGAAGTGTTCTTCTCTTATTATCTTCAGTATGAATCCAGGCTCGGAGAGATATTTCACTAATAAATATTTCAGCTGCTTTCGCAAATAATACAGGAGCTTCAGCACTTATCATCTACAAAACGACATATAGCTGCTTTATTAAATTTCATGGAATGGAATACCAATTTATGTTTCTTATTTACTAACAAAGTTTGTATGTCTGGAAAATGTTGTTATTTTATTGTCCAAACTCTCATATAATTCAAACATTTTTGGAGTTACTGATGCTAATGTGAATATCATTATTTGTAAGCCCATATGCTCATAACTATTGGTATTCAATAATTTCAGGGTCAGTTTAATCAAAACATACCTTGACATCTTCATCAAGTTTCATAATCTTCTTAATTCTAGCTAATGGTAATTCTTGATTTTTTAAATCATTCTGAAAAATTAATCAAAGAAACAACATGATTGTTTGTGGTTGTACAAGTATCTATCATAGCATAATACTAAATATCACAAGTATGTATGATAGAATTATGCTAAATATTACAAGTAGGCTAGCATTATATTAAATATTACATGTATGTATGATAGTATTATACTAAATATTACAAGTATGTTATGTATCTTAGCATAATATTAAATATTACAAGTAGGCTATGTATCTTAAATATTACAAGTAGGCTATGTATCTTAGCATAATACTAAATATCATAAGTATTTATCATAATGCTAAATATCACAAGTATGCATATCATAATACTAAATATTACAAGTATGTATCTAAGCATGATCTGCATTTTTAAATGAAAAGCATATAGCACTAACGTAGAATGCTAAAATTAGAGAACTAAAATCAATCAGTCAACTCACCTCTTTGGGTTTTTGTATTTTATCATGAACTTTAGGCCAAAATTCCTGCAACATTTGTTGAGCTTCTGGTGACATACCAGACATAGGAGCCTGGTTGGAAAACTGTTCAGCCATTTCTATTAACTAGATCTACCTATGATTAAAAAAAGGTTCATTATAATAATAATAGGATTTTAGTTCTTTACCTGTCTACAACAGTAGCAGATCCATTGATGATTGGGGACAAGCAGTTTAGATAAGAAGTCTATTTTTCTCTTTTATAGAGTCCACCAGAAGCACCCGAAGGGGAAGGGGATTTGGTGTGGGGTTAAATACTATCTAAGAAAGGCTATATATATCGGTATAAACTTATGAATTTCATTAGTAAATAGATGGACTGGATAATATTGGTTTTACTAAAAATCATGCAGACCAGTTTTATTTTGTACATGTTATATTAGTTTTGATTCAGACTCAGTTTTATAACTGACTTAACTCAGCATCTAAAAAGAGCAAAGTTCAGCTATTCTAAGCTATGAATTCATTTAATTTCTAAGAAATTAGTATTTCATATACTTTTGTTTGACGAAGATAGGCCAGTTCTTTTATAACTAGGCTAACAAAAAGAACTGAAGTAATATTGTTGATGTTGATTTTGATTTGAAAGAACATGTTGGGTAGGGTCTTTGTATCTAGAATGATCATCATGGCATGGCAGCTCTCATTCTCAGAGCAAAGTTAGCCTCATGACTTGTAGCACTGTCCAAGTTCCACGGTGTGTGCCATGGGTTGTCTACAAATTAGATCTACGCGTAAAAAGTTGTTATTTCTAAGATCTATTTGGTGATCCAATGAAGACCTTGATAGGAAACTTTGGACCAATAAATTAAGGTCTGGACTGCACATCCAATCATTTCACACACTGCCCACCAATGGGAACAAAGAAAGATACGACTTCGTTTGCAGGTGCGCGAATCGTCGGGTGTGAATGAACGTTATCAATTAAGTGATCATTACTTCATATGAATTAATTATTGACATGATAACTGTTAGAATTACTCAAGAAATTTACAAACCCTTATAATATACTTTATCCGGAAATATTTTATGATTATGAATGAGAAAATATGGCGGACGTTTGATTGGTCATGACCTGCATTCAAGTCTGCGCATGTGTTTTAGATGTAAACTTCCGGTTCATGACACCGTTTAGAATTTTCTTTCTGTAATTTTTCTTATCGAAATGCAGGTAAATTTACCTATAGGCCTATTTACCTATGTAGCATTTTTGTCAGTCATCAGCATAGTTCAATATGACTACTGAAAATCAAAGGGTTTTCACAAAAGTTGAATCCATCACTGACATATTTTATCAGTTAGAAACATCTGCCTCTTCTGCATCTGGCACTATTTCAGCCTCTGTGACTGTTTAGCTAGTTAAGTTGTTGGATTGCGAAGGGTCTGAAAAACTTGTCCATAGTTATGGGCATTTTTCCGTAACTCCATAGGTGGCTGGGGGGGGGACCTATTTTTACCTCAAATCTATATATTTGGAAAACAATGAATTGACTTCGTATATCTCATGTTATTAATCAATTAGGCCTTTATACCAAAAATAGATTACCGGTACTTATTTTTGCATCATTTACTAATGTAGTGAAATGAGTCTATAAAATTTCAAACTGTTTCAGAAAGAAGAAAAACTTCTAGAGACATCATTACCAGATATTATTGCTAAAGTTGCAGAAATTAAAAATGCCATAGCTTCATTTTTGTTTAAGCTTGAAAATGAATATGCAACCTTAAATTGGTAGGTTTCAAATTGATAAGATGTTTTGATGTGATTTTTAAATGTTCATTTCTTGCATATTTTAACCAGTGCTGGTAAGATATCAAGGTGTTTTTTTTTAATAGAATTAAAATTTCATTTAAATCACTAAAACATGCAAATAGTTAGGTAAACTAAATAGTTTAGTTGTATAGTTCAGCTAAAGTAATTGCTTACCTGACACCAAAAGTATCGCAATAAACTTGTATGCAAAGGATAGTTCAAATATTTGCCTCATCTGTTCCAGACCAATCTGATTGAAATGCTAATATGAAGGTACGGTATTGCAGCTTCTCTCCCTAGTTCTCTGAGAGTTACTTCACTGCCTATCCATGATCTGAAGAAATAGTTTTCAGCTTACTGTTACTTACTATATCTGAGGAATTGTCAAACATTTATTTATATCCATTTTAGTAGTGTTTTTGATTAGGTAGCATGCTTAGGACCACTTTGGGTATCATTGGGTCAAAATCACCCAATCACAGAAGAATCTTGTCACATCATATATGACAAGTGTAGTAACCTGCAGTGAGAACACAAAACAAAATTACAGAGCTGCATTTCAATGAAGATGCTTTCAATCGAATTTTTTTTTAAATATAACAAAATGTTGTATATCCTGAATGCTTGGGTGTGCTTATTATATCATATGAATTAAGTGACCAGCTAGAGCAGCTGGTAATGCAGAAAGAATAAAATTATGCATATGGCCAGTGTGAGAAAACCAATAACCTCCAATGTACGTGTAATAATTTTCAGGCCAAGCATGCTGGATAACTTTGCACTGATTTCCAGTAATATGAATTCCTTGAGTAAAGTATTGAAAGGTGAAAGAATACCACCATTAAGAAATTTTACTCTGTTTCCTGTTTTATTATCACCAGAAAGAGATCAAGAATTAGAGGTATGTTATTTGTTGATTTTATTTTGGTAAAGATATAGTAAGAAAATAGTCTTGAAATATTTGCTTAAAGGGACAGGTGTGCCATTCTTTTTGATCAATAATACTTTAGTCTCAGAAACGGAATTTTTTTGCTAAGCCAATCAGTATATAGACGAATATAGAAAATTGTTGGTAAAATACCTAGTTTGAAGTATATCTAAAGGAATTATTCGATTTTGGTACATTTCGAGTACTACTGAAGACTATTTACATATTTTCAAGACTCAAAACTAAAAATTCAGAAAAAAAACTGCCATGGAAATTTGGATTGTTGTCAGTTCCAGACTGTTTAACATTTCTAAGGGCAGCTATAACTGATGATAGCACAATTTTAAGTGATGACTTTCAAATGGACTTTTGTTTTATAGCATGATCTGTTTGAATGCGCATTTTAACACCTTCATTTTTAATGCAGTTTGATTGAATGAGTTGTTGTCAGAAATGACATCTAGACTGGTGCAGTGATCTGAATTATCAATTTTTTTGTATGAAATCGTGTTCATTTGATGTGGAATTTAGAATGATTTGTACAGATAGTTGAAAATTTGTAACTATTACGGAAGTGTGATTTCAGTCAACTTATGTTTGTAGAAATTAACAGAAGGAAGATTATTTATGTGTAATCATGAAGTAGTGCCAGATTATTTAAGAACCAAACCTGAAACTGATGTTGAAGAAAAAATTAATCAGCTAAATACTAAAGCTGGTACTATCCCTTCAGATAATGCTCAGGTATAACTTTTTTCAATTTCATACAGAAAACAGATTGTGACACAATAAATCACCATTGATATCAAGCGGTAGTAAGCTATATATTATGATATTAATAATTGATTATATGATATACTTTCAGAAACAACTAAATAACCTAAATAAAATAACCAGTAATATATTAGATATTATTAATAGTTATAAAGAAGAATGGGACAATGAATCAAGTGAGTGTAAACACTATTTACAATATTTTGTATCTAGGTGCTCTTACTGGAGGAGATGCTCCTCATCAGGACAGTTTTGGAAGGTTTGAAAATGGAGGTCAATTTACCAAATATGACTGAATAGGAATTGGGCAAAGAAAGAAGTGTTAGATGCTTAGTTTGGTATGTTAATCACACAGTGCTATGTGAATTCAGAAGTAATTCAAATGATAAACAAGAAAAATCTCTTTTGTTTTGGTAAAAGTGGTTGTAACAACTACATATAATTATAAAAATGACGAAAGCACAGGTCAGTTGGTTTTTTAAGCACATTATAACATTTTTTCAGAACAGAAAACTCAGCAACCACAAACATCATCCCAGGCTGAAACTAATACATTGATAGCTGCTATTTCTATGGGAAAAGGTTTAAGACTTCAGTCACAGATATCCCAACAGCAGATGCAACAACAAATGCCAAACATGCAACCTGGTCAGAAACCTAGTAAGATTTCATTTTCTGTAAAACCAAATCTTTTCAATGCTTGTGGAATTAATATATGCCAGTATTGACCCACTGTCTATTCAGGTTTGCTTGTCATCACTAGCATTACCAGTTTTCAATCAATTTTGATGAAGTAAGCTTAGAATAAAAGTCTGGCTCTGGTGCTTCACAATGAAATAGTTCTAATAGTATTATTTTCAATGTTTTTTTTATAAAATCCCAAAATGAAGTGAAGTTTTTGACAATTAGATTGCATTACAAAATTTGAGTCTTAAATAGTCATTGCTGTTCTAAGGTTTCAACATGAAACTTGCTGTGAAAGTATGGAATTGGAAAAAGCTACAAAGCGTGATATAGACCAAAGCTGTAGGATCTTGAGTTTTTGGAAATGAACCATTATGAAAGAAGAAAATCACTTTTTCAATTTAATGTATTTGTATTTTTAGTGTCTGTTGGTAAAGTTCCAAGTACAGTTAAAACAACAATAAGAGCTGGATCTCATCCATATCAACGATCTTGACCTCCAAATTAACAAATTTGAACTCTTTGAATATGTCTGTGGTATTAGAACACTATCGCTAAACAAATAGTTATAAATCTAATCACCATGGAAAGAAGTGATGAAGGTACCTTCCAAATGGATTAAAAGTTGTCAGGCTATAGAGGACTCTTTGCCAAGCAATACAAACGCTTCTTTAGTTTGTGACTATTGTGAGGGACTTGGCCAGAAGTGGGGCATTTACTTTCATAGTGATAATATGTAATTTGTAATGTGTTAATTTGTCAATTGAAGTAAACATGATATCAATTTGTAAATTGTTGTAGTTATATGCAAAATATCACATACCGTGTGTGATTATCATCTCTGTTCATCCATTCATATATGGTGAAATGAAAAGGGTCTTTGCTCGGATTACTTTCAAATGTCAAAAAATTACAACAGCAACAGAAACTTGCTTTTTTTTAATTTGCTAAACAGCCTGTAGAGCACAGAACCTCATATTTTTATTCCATCAAAAGGGTTGGATATCTTTTCCAAGCAGTTAATACTCTGAAGGTAGTTTTTCTAAACAATCTAACTTCAGAGCATCAGAGCTCCTCAGCATGCACGTAACATTTGTGCTACCAGTAAACATCATTAAGTTGTCCTTACCAGTTGTGTATGGTTGCAAATATTGAAAGAGATCATGAGTTAGAGATATGTAAGATACTTAAAAGCACTATCTGTATTTGCAATCATACGCAAAAGGTGAGGGTCTATTTACGAGTACTTAAAAAAAACTCTCGGAAAAGTTTTAAACCATCAAGGAATCATTCCATCGATTGTGAGAGTATGAGATAATCTTTCTTGTGGTCAAGTGGGTACAGGAGGCATCAAAACCTACAGGAGGAAATTTTTAATGAAATACTCATTCAAATACCACAATATTTGAGTTTACCTATTTTATCTTTATGATACGTTGAACATTTAGAAAAAGCACTTTTGGTGATAACTAATGGAATGTCTTTTCCTGATAAATACACCTTATTTTTAAAGTTACCCAAATTTAAATCACTCATTTTGACATTTGTGGGATCTTTTTCAAAAGCTGTACTGGAGTTATGCTTTGCTATAAACACTGATAAAATAGAAGCCGTCATAAACGCATCAAAACCAGCTCTATGACAACCACTTCTAGCAGCTGAAATGTTTGTTTTGTCTGCAGATGTTTTATTCTGTAATAGGTCTTCTATTTTATCTTTTGAATCAGTCACATTATTGCCATTTGAGTTCATATCACAATTACTTAAGGATTTCTCAGTTTCTATATTAGGAGAGTGATCCCCCTTTGCTACCTCTTCATTCAATGTGGTATTTTCAACACTATTTGCAGATGGCGAGTCAAGACTTTTGATTGGAGCATTAGATGGCACATTAGCACTATTTTTATCACCATAATCTCGAACATTGTGCTTATCACCATAATCTCGAACATTGTGCACATTTTCCTTTATTTTATCCTCGGAGTCTACTTTCACTTTAGCACTGCAATCGTCATCAAATTTCCGCTTCTTCACAACACTGGCATAAGTTTCAATTTTTGGGACAATATCAGATTTTTCATTAACTTCCTCATCAGAATTTTCACGTGATTCTCCATCATTTGATTTGGCATCTCCATTGTCTTTAGTTTCTAATTTTCTGTTTCTTTGACGTTTTCTATTACGTCTTTGTTTTGCTGTCAGGAGGTAGCCAATACTAATGGTTAGTTCCACATCGTGTATTAAAGTACATACTCTTGGTTTATTGCACCAACCATGGGCCTGAAAAAGGGAGAAAATCAACTATCACCAGCATGAAATATTAAACTTTTGTTATTTCTTCCAAAGCTGTTGGTTCATGAATATTCAACAGCGTAATATTAGAATACAGGGCAAGAAGAACAAGGGCATTAACATGTAATCATATACTTTTCAGATATTTTTAAACTCCAAAGAGTGCATACTGGGTTGATAAAGCAAACAATTTCACAAAAGCTTCATCAATATCTTACAAGAAATAACAGACTTTTAGAATTAAATTAATAAGTTATTGCCCTGTTCTGAAAAAAACCCATTTGATTTCATATGAAATGTAGGCCCTAGATAATTTTGTTCTTAAGAGTAACCAAGTATCAGTTTGGATAATATCTACCTTAATATCACATACTTATCTAGTAATGAAGATAATTACTGTCTGTTACTATATTTGAATTGAAATCATTCTTATCTGTATATTAACATTTGAATTATCACAGAAATCTCTCAAGCCAATTTGATAAAAGAAAATAAGATTGCTTGTTGATGTTTGATGAAACATAAACAACTGCTTGCATAGGGTCTGACATTTTTGAAGGTGTATAAAAAAAATATACTCACAGCAAAACATAGACATATATTAGGTCTGATTTTCTCTATATCTGATTCTAACCATGTTTTATTACTGTAACCACATCTATGATATCCTACTGATGTATAACTATCAGGGTAGGTAGGAAATTTAAAATAAACTTCTCTATTACTATTCTTCAGATATTCCTGATTTTCTCTTTGACTAGAAAAAAAACAGATCTAATATAGTATCCCTTTAAAGGGACAGACCTGTTTATTTTCAACGTGAAGAATTACGCTAATTATGCGTGAAACTATGTCTAAACCCTTTATATAGTTTCTATAAATTTACCTGGCCACTGAGGAAGTGTTTAAAACATCAAATTTAAACCTTCTTATTATAATTGATAGTTGATATTTTTGGAAGGAAAATTAGCTTCACACTTGAAATATTTGAAACATACTTACCATTGAATAAAGACATACTCTAGATAAGAGGCCTCCATTCTCTCTATAAAGTCTGTGATATATTTAGTATCATATATACCATGTGGAAACATCTCACTCAAATCAGCTATAAATGATGCCAGTTTCACTGGTAACTCAGTGTAAAAATTATGATAAAGAAACACTAAGTCCACTAATCCATTATGAATAACTAGTGGAATCTGTTGATGTACTATTATACTAAATAAACCTCTTACACTGGGTGGTATGACTGCAGATTTACCCTATAAGCAAAAAACAAAAATTTTACTTCAGAATAATCGTTTGGGTTATGCTAAGAGCCTGTGGTAAGAGAGACTAAAAGAACAGATATTGTTAGTATAACAGAGTTTTTGCTACTTTTCCTATGGAAACTAAATATGCAATATATATTTGCCCTATGTTTATAGCAGCTGATTCATCTTTTATTTATTTGTTGATAATACACACTTTTGATTCATATTCTGAAAAGTGATAAGGATAGCTTATATTTAGCAAAGGAATTTTTTAGACCAGTATATTCCTTAAATTTACCGATCCGTGATCAGTTGAATAACAACCAATCCTCTTAAAATAGCCCACAAACAACAAAGTGAGAAACCATGTGCCATAAATGAAATGTAATTTTTAATGACTTGTGTGTATCTGACAAAATAGAATTGAGGTGTGCGTCGGGTACTTGCAATGCAGACAAAAGATATCCAGAAACATTGTGTCTCTATAGAATCTACCGTTTTGTGTGGTTGTTTGTGGTTATAAACAACAGTATCTAAGTGGGCAGAGCCTAAGCTGATCTCACGGATGCCTGAATTAATTCACAAGTCCAACTTACTCTATCAGCACCTCTATAATAAGGAACTCCAGTTGAATATTGTTTATTAAAATCGAAACTATGATCTACTAAGAACTTCAAAGAGGCTGGTTCCACTATATAGTCTTCACTACATAACACTATGATATTAAATGTCTGAATATGATAAGACCATTTGGACTCACTGGTACCATCTGGATTAGGGATTAGTTTAAAACAGGATAATCCCAATGATAAAATGGATCTAGTTTTAGCTACAGCTGTTAATCCTCTATACCTATCTTCTATACTCCTGTAAAAAAAATGCAGGAAGAGTTAATAAAGAATGCCTGGAGGATTTTGCTTGGAAATTTTCTGAAATTTCTTAAAAAGATCACAGGATTTTTTTATTTAGCTTCTATCAGTACCATTAAGGTTTACATTCTGATGTCAGTGGTTCCCATAATCCACAAAAAAGTTTAAAACACTTTTAGTTAATTCTTAAAATCTGAATTCAAATCAAACTTTGTCTACTTACTTAGCATTCAGAACCTTTCTATCACCTAGTCCACTTAATTCCTAAAATCGATAAATAAATAATTAAATTATATTAAGCTTATTACAAAAAATAAATCAATTTCACTGTTAAGATAATGCTTAATACATCAATTGCCAAGCGATATAGCTTAATATAAATAAGGCAATATGAGAGGATATTTTTTTTTCATTGCAAATCTTACATCTGAAACTCATGTTGGTGGCACCGACTAAATTGAAATAAATCAAACTTACAGTGTCTACACCAATAAATGTTGCTGACTTGACAGCTAAACATAATGATGGCCATATTTCTTTTATATTATCATTATGTACATCAATAACAGGAATATCTACAGGTTTACCAAACACACTCATAATTTTATCTGAATCAGAAAAATCATATCAATACATCATCTTGATCTACATTAATATTCTTATCCATGGCATAAGCAGATAAGTTACTCTGTCTACAATGCTTACTGAATCGAAAATGAAATGAAATGAATGGAGTTTTACGTCTCTGAATCGAATTTCGCCAGTCATTTTCGTATGAATTGAAATATCAACTCCAAAATACTCTCAGAGTTTAAGATTTCTTTGAGATGATGACCCCAAATAGTCTAGGTAATGGCATAGGCCTACAGCTGAAAATTTAATTTTGGATAGGCCTCTTTGTGAAATAAGAGATAATTGTCTTTTTTAGTAATTTTTGCATGTTCGGTACTCTTTTACATATTCATTTTAGGAGGGAATTCCATAGTAACTATAGGCCTACATTATAATTCCAGGTCCCAGCGTACCAAAGTTGCAGGAATATTGTGAATGTGAACTAAACTGCAAAAACAGATTTCTTTTCACCTTTTCATGGGCAGCGCCATATTGGTATGGGAGATAACTCTTAAATCATATTAGTCCGATATACTCTGTATTTTGAAAGGAATTGCCCGAAAAAATATTTTTTACAGTTTTATAATGTATTCACGAAGTTTCAACTATTCCATTGTACAATAAAGAATAGAATATAAATTTTTGAACCCAAGGTAGGCGACAAATCAGGCCCTACCCGTTGCTCGATAGGGAATTTTATGGGAGTTGTTTTTTAAAATATCCACTATGACCAAAGGCCAAATTTGGCATAAATATTGGCATTTATACAAAACTGAAGCAATAATGAGTCCATCAAGACATTTCCTGATTTTTAACAATGTCATTTTACCCATACCGATAGTAAAATACAGTCGATCAGATATTTTAGAAATGATGAAGTGATATATCCGTCTAAATATTTGCTTTGCAGGCTGATTGGGGCTGATTTCAGATATCCGTATCACTTATAAAAGTTAAAATCCCGTGTCTGGTTGTCTTCAATGAAACGAAAACTATGAACTATAATCGTAATTAAAACTAAATATGACATGACGACATAGTAAGGTATAAGAAGTATTCTCGAAAGGGAACAGATAATAATCCTTAAACCCTTAATGAAAACAAAAAAAGTTTTCGAGAAGGAGAAGAATGGTTCAACAGATTTTCAATGACAACTGTAAAACATTCATTGTGTTGTAGTGGTAAGAATGTATTGTAAAGAAATAATATTGTGCTAATGATGCGCCATTCAAGTGTAACAGATATACTATTGTTCTGATCTGGATTGGTGGGATAGTTTTACAAACCATCAACCAGCAGACGTATGAAATGATTGCAAATAATTGAAAGTTATGGGTATTTTTTAGACATGAGTTGCATCATGTGGAAATTTTGGAAACGCTGATTAAAGGCACACATTCTTCTTATCTTTTTCTGAATAGAATTTAACCTGTATCACTTTAGAAATAGGAAAACAGACGCCTATATGCCCTCCGAAATTAAAAAAGTCAATTCTCTCAGGTGTTGTTCTGTGATGTCATCGGCATTTGTGAATATAAACATCTATCAATCTATCTTACAACTATATCCCTTAACCAATGAGCTTTAAACCCTTAATAGTATTTTGTGTTCAGTTTGTTGGTTTGTGGACCTATCCCACCCATCTTGATTAATCAATGTTATAACGTGTTTTAGCATGTCATCTGTTTATTATTCTCTACAGGGATTATTTCATTAGCTTCATATACCTTTTACCTTTTCTTCACCAGTCCACTGCTGTACAAACATATTGTTGTCAATTATATCTTTTTCTTTACATTCTTCTTCAAGACAAGAGAGCAACTCACTAGAGGTATGTGACGGCACAGGACTTCAAAGGAAAGAAAATAGTTGTTAGAATTATTTAGTGGTATTTACGTAGGAGAAAAAAAATACTAATTTAGCAGACGACAGTTTTGAAACAAACCGGTTCAAGTTGGGTAGTCGGACTACAATACTATAGCTAAAATCCTTGAGTAGGTTTTAGCTATTTATAAAGCCAGTGACAGCTTTTCAGAAGCCCTTTATACATTGGATTAAATTGTGTGTACTATATCCCATCAATACTCCATTGTAGACATTGGAGAAGAGTGAACCGTGTGTATTTGTACAGGACCACATTGACAACGAAATGTATCTTTAACTGTGCTCATCGTTAACCTTACCACGTACAAAAATACAACATGTCGAAAAGTGTCGTATTCAGTTATCAAGGTGGATAATTATTACTATATCAGTGACAAGAATTCATTCAATGGCGTCTTGTCGTTAAGGATAGAAAAATGGCGGACACAGAGATAGTGGGTGAAAAAACCTATGGGACCATTCTACCCCAAAAGGAGTATACATGGGAGGAAAGGGTTCGGTCTCTCAGGGACATTGCCAACCATGGGGGAAGTCTGCCCATTTGTCTCAAGTGGTGTGCCATTGCTGGCGATATATCAAAATATTTAGGATGTCGCGACTCCAAAGGATTAGCTGATGTGGTGTTGAAGATCTCAGAATTAAGGAGGAAAAAGATCATCCTTGCCAAGAAATTAGAATGGGACAAGACAACGATGGATTATATCGTTACAGGAGAACAAATCGAGATACCATCATTTTATAAAGGTTGGTAGTCCTTTAATAGTTCCTTAGAATTCGTAGAAGCAGACGCATTCACCATTTCCAATGCCATTTATCTGCCAAAATGTACAATGTGAAACTATAGGAATTGGATTTCGACCGTCAAATTTAGTACTTCTTGTGCACGATAATGTACTTTGTAAATGTTCTTATATATTAAAATGACAGAAGATTTGATATCTTATATCAGTTTTCTTTGTACCGAGCAACAAGTACAAAAGTAGCAAACTTGTGGACTTCGGTGCTAAGTTGGTGAGGACTAAAACTTTCCAATGAATCTTTAACCTATATCCAACAATTTGTATGCTCTCTGATTGATGAAATTGATCTTCAAACGGTGGTCGATCAAGATATTTACCCCAAGAGCCATATAACCTATCTTTTCTACAACTTCCAGTATGAGCTCAGGGTAAAGTAGAAATTGTGAGGTTTGTGTTAGAAAATATTTAGAAAGGATAAGGAGGTTCAAGTTATAGGTAGGGATGGATGTAAGAGTTCCTTTTGCGATCAAACTATTGCTTTCGTTAACTCATTGATGTTGCTCTCAGGATCAACAAGAATGACGTTGTTATTCGGGATGACGTTGCTTACGTTATTTGGGAATATGTGGGATCTGGAATAACGTTCTTGCAGGAATGACGATTGGTCTATTGGTCATTGGCGAATGCCGTTGCTGACTTTAATCAGGGATAGCTTTGCTTACGGAAATGATTGCCTGCTTACGATGGTCTAGAAATGACGTTGATCGGTGGATGACGTTTCTGATGTCAATCCAGGGATGGTGTTGCAGGATTGACTTTGCTGACGTTGATCAAGGAATGACGTTGCTTACGTTGAACCAGGATGGTTTCGCTTAATTTGATCCTTTCTTTTCATACATTGAAACAAAAGTAAATAGTTAAAACCATTGCTTTGAGACTCCGATACTTTCAGAGTTGACTATTGATTTATATTGATGTTTTGTTTACTCTGAATGTGTGTTGACATATTGACATTGTTGACAATCAAACCATTGTTATTTGTGCAATCAGTGAACTACATCTAACTTTAAAATATCACTATTAAATATAATATTTTAACTTCTCAGTCTTCTAATATTCAAACAGGCTAACATAAATATAACTTCGTATTAAAACATGACTTCTGATTACAAGTTAATGCAGAGGATTCAGATATTTTTATCCTCTGCGTTTGAATGTTCAGATACACGATGTTATTGATACTAATGTGATGTTCAGATGTGAAATATGCATAATTAGCCTTTGTATGTATGACTTCATCAATTGATATGTTTACAAACAGTGCATATCAATGATAAGTCCATGTAATGTTTTAAAACGTAAATATCAATACGATGTTTGCGATCAATTGATTTTAATACGATTTCTACAATCTAATACAATATTAACAATCAATTGATATCAATAGCATGTTTACAATCTATTGATATCGATACTATGTCTTAAATCTATTGATATCGATACTTTGTCTTAAATCTATTGATATCGATACTATGTCTTAAATCTATTGATATCGATACTATGTCTTAAATCTATTGATATCGATACTATATCTTAAATCTATTGATATCGATACTATGACAATGTCTTCAATCTATTGATGTCAATACAATTTGCTAATATTCACATCTAATCAAAAATAAAGTTAGGTTATGAGAAAGATATTAATTTGTATATATATGGTCATGTTGAGGTAAATGTTAACAAGTCTTGTTCATGTAGATAATTTGTTTTACATGAATTTGGTATGCACTCAATATACACTGACCTTTAAATGCAATAACCATGTTCTCTGATATACCTTAAAGGGCGAATGTTCATCAATTTTGTTATAGTATCAGATGAAGAGTCTGCTTGATAAGTATAGCCTCCTTACCTACAGTAACAGAAATATAGAGTCTACAAGAGATGATGTTGGACGTTTCCAGGTCCGTAGACAGACTTGATTGTTACAGGTGGCAAATAATATATCCGGAGGGGCAACTGGGTATGGTGTTAAGTTGTAGTTATAAAATGAGCCGGTTTTCAGAATATTTTCAGGGGGGAGGGTGGTCCATTTTTGGGGTGCGGGAGGCGCATCTGGTATGCTGACACTGTCATTTTTTAGGTATAAATTGATTGTATGATAAATATAACATTCTTTAAACTCGTTCATTGACCAAGACCTTTTATATGCCATATTTATTTGAATACAAGATAGATCATGCGGAGCGTAATTTTTATGTTTACAGTAAGTTCAAAGATATATTATATTTTTATTTTTATGTATTTAATCGATGGACATTAACCGAAAATCTAGAGTACAAAAACTGAAAAGTGGGACACACAACACGTTTTCGATCCTTCAAATATTTAACATAAAATTTTTTTAAATTGACAATGCACTATACTGAATTGATTAACGGACCCATTCCAGTCGCCGTCTTTTTAAGAATACATTGATTGGGTAAAGGTGCAAAATCGAATCATCCGGTGCAGCTCTATAGCTTTTATTTCCAACATTTAATATCTTGTCCGACATCTATGGTGCCTGTACTTCAAGAATCGTGCAATTAAAAGCATTAACAGCGCCTCTATTACCCCTTTCGGGATCCTTGACCAATTGGATTACACCCTTTCCGCTATTAATCTTTACTATTACTCCCCTTCCTACTGTAAATCCTTGCTGTTTCGTAATTTTCTTTTAGAGTTTCCACGCAAAAGCGTCTCATTACCCCAACAGAAAAAGTAGCCCGTTGCTCTGGTTGAAAACCCTTGTCGTAGAGGAGCCTAAAGTTGAGATTTTCTTCTGAAAGGTGACATAGGTAAAGCTAAAACCAACAAACTGTATCAAGTAAATTCGAGTGCATGGGCTTAATTAAATTCACATTAAACCATAATATCGCTAAGTAAAGATTAACTGTAAGTTTTTACATAACGTATGATTGATATTTATTGGCATACGAGGTTTTAATTAACTTCCATTGATTCGATTTTTTAATGTATTTCCAGTGGCCGTGACTTTTGACCTCTTTCAATTAAGAATTTTGGCGGTTTTGAGGTGATATCTTTTTTATCAAGATCGATCACGGTAATGGTTCTTCGACATCTATAATCTTGAGAAACCTAAAGATGCAAAAAATTTCATTCATGAATACTATTCAAAAGTGTATTGTCACCCAACAGAACAAGAGCTGCGAGTTTTTCTCGTATCGTGATATCACTGCCAACATAAGTAGACATGAAATCGAACAAAACTAAGTCAGCGACGGTAGCGGTGAAATAATCTATTAGGACATAGTTTCTCCTTGTAAACAATTGATTTTTTGTAGATTTAACTGTTTATTTGCTTATCTTGTTGTTTACTATAGTATTTCCCCATTCATAGATTATCCCTCGATAACCCATGGTGATTTATCACCAAATTTTACGTATATTCACGTTTTGTGATTAGCAAATTTTCAAGAGAGAGCACCCAAGAAAAGTGCAAATGTCTCTTGGTTTGATGTAAAACATATAAATGGCATTTGTTGAGTATTGAACATCTATCCCTTCTTAGAAACCTTTTTCGAATACCTTCACTGTTGTATGAATAAAATATACAATAAAAGCATAATTTAGTTATATATAGTTTTATTGATTTTGAGGTTGTTGATCTGTGACTAGAATTCAGAATGATACAATAGACCTAAATCAATATAATCTATATAGAGATTAGCTGAATTGGATATTAACTGACTTTTGGCAGTGTTTCCAAAATGCGCGTAACCATTGTCAAAGTATTATATAAAAAGGATCAGAGCCACTTGAATTGTTGAAATGAAAGGAATGGAGTTTTACGTCATACGTTTCTGCACCTTATAGGCTAATGAAGACGGACAACGCCATGCATTGTGGAATGATGGGAATTTTGAGATTTCCAATTGTCGGGGGGTCTTCAACGTGCACGGCCTGTAGCATATGGGGTCTAGCTTTATTTCCCATCTGTATGGATAAATGCTTTTCCCGGGCTGAAAAATCCGAAGGTATTATCTCCCGTATATATACCTGGATTGAACTCTGAACTGGTGGCAATTCAAGCTACTACGAATAATCATGCTGAACAGAGGCAAAGAGTTTCTCTCATATCGATCTTGTAGCAATTACCTTAATTATGATTTTAGCACAGTGTTTCCACGTGGAATAATTATTTACATCTCTCGTTGATGTTTACTGGATATTGGAAAATTTTATTGTACAAGTTTCCATGTGATCTACGCATTTAACAATGGTCTGAAGACTTTGTAACGAAACCAGATATAAATGCAAATTCAAAATTGAACACAGTCATATATGATATGCGTTACCTATCCGCACGAAGAGATATCTATTTTAGGTGATATTTCATGTAATTGTGATTCCAGTAAGTTTCTCTGTACCAGTTGGTAAAGTTGAACGCTATTGAATGTAAAGATTAATGATATTATTATACGTTACATAACTCTTGACCTTGACATTGTCATATAGCCCGTTTTAGGTTCTGATGCACCTTAATACCTCGCATTTGACCTTGACATTGTAATATTCGACACTCTTATCCATGTTGTACAAATATGCAATAATATATTTCATCCCGTACAATAGATTCATTAAACTAAAATACTTTCTGATATGATATATGAAATTAGAACTTCAATGAATGTTAATGTGTTACACCCCAAGAGTTGCTTGAATAACTGAACGTAACTCGTTTGATAGAGAATACTTCTATATCTGAACTTTTTGTTAATTTGATCGGGTTTTTTTGGTAGAGCACATGTACGGGTTCTTGTACCGTTGTATAGTGCAATCCTTTTTCCCTATGTACGGACCTGTTGACAATTTATCTGAAACACAAATTATGATTAATCAATATTTTATCCTCTATTAACAAATAAAAGAAAAAAAAATAATCATAAGATCCGGAGCACTGTAATGTTCATCAGCATAATTTTTCACATGATATACTTTTTCCCATTATTATCAGGCTCTTTAAACCTATGTTTTTTAATTGCCTTGACATGAAATTAAATCATTAAGTATATAACGGGTTTTAAGACTGGTTGAACAACTTGAGTAGATAATAGTCAAAATTTATTACTTTGTAATAGTATTCGTCTCTCACTTAATTTGGGTATAATGCTGTGAAATTATGTACTTCACGACGAATAACAAAAACGATAACGTGTCAGACAGCGTAATATACGCCCACAGCAACAGCTTGCAGTTATTACTGTTAGCTTTTAAGAAATGGCAATAACTCTTAAACACTATTTTGTAGAGAAGCTGCATATCATAAGACTGAACATTTGGGAGAATCAAAACATTAAAGTAATTTAACCAGCAAAATGTAACTTTCAGAGTTTTCTATCCAGTATGTTTTGGCCTAATGTACGATATGACCTTGGATATAAGATTATTTTAAACTGTTGTATATAAAATTATTTCAATACATGAGGGATTATATTAATTCTGAATTGGATAATCCTGATTATAGGTCTAATCCTTTCATATAAATTCTTTATCCTTTGTTATTAACTCTGAAATTATACTTAAGCTTAAAGGAGCCCATCCAATTATATTTCTTACATTATAGATTAACCTTTTGAATCATATTATATCATTTTTTCACTCTAGTTAACTTGCTGATGTAGGTATTTCTTTTCGCGTTTTTTTTTGTGTCTTTGGGTTACTACGTGATCACGATCTAAAGAACTTAAAAGTACATTAATTCGTGTTCAATTGAACTTGATCCTACAATATCTTGACTTATAATTTTTGCTTACTTATTTGCGGGGTTTCCAAATCTTAAAAAACACAATGTTATAAGTAATATCCCCTTAGTGTAATCGTTACGGTTATTTTATCGTGACGTCATTATATAAAGTATATTTATTGGTTTATCTAATTGTAAGCGAACTTGGGGTCAGATTTTAAAAGGCATCATAGTAAGCCTGTAATTGACAAAATAAAACAGAAAGTCATTCAAATATACCCCTTGTGACGAATGTAGACATGACATAGTAAACAGTTCTATTAATTTTATTGTTGGTATTTAAAAAGAAAGACAACGAACCTGTTCGCCTATAACATAGTCTAATAAAATACTAATATAAAGATACTTAAAAGATGTTTTCTAGATTTCGTCTAGGATTCAAAACACTTATAAGCGTCTAGTTTCTCCATTCCAGTTCCTTGTCCGACTTCTGTGGTTCTCGTGATTTAACAAAATCTCAACTGGTTATGACGTCTCTATCGTAAATACTATTTAAGCCAATTGAATGACGTGATAGTGACATCATATTTTGCAG